CTATCTGAAAGCCTCTCATGTCTCCCTCAGCAAACCAGGCTCTCATCTGCAGGGTGGAATCAGGCCCTTTCCATTTTGAGAAAGGTTACCCTAGGATGCGTGGGAATAGGGTGAATAAGTTAAAGAGTCAGGGCCAGGATAACCTAAGACTGGCTTTAAAGGTTGGGATCTAGCTCTATGAGGTCTGGGATCTAGGTCTAGGGGAGGGAGCTGGGGTGTGTAACTAGTACTGGGGAACCACAATGTGTTTGGTTTGGCCAGAGAATAAAGTAAAAATTTGGGAGTGACTAAAAAGATAGGTGGGGGCCAGATAATAAAGGGTTTTATTAAAGTTAAAAATACTGTATTTCACAACTTCATATCCACATGCATAAGAATGAAATTGGAAACTCCCTACGGAGTAACACTATACAGAAAGTTACTAAAAGTGGATCGCTGACCTTAATATAAGGGTAGAAACTAAAGACTGTTGGCCCAGAGGTCTGTGACTCTGGTTTTCTTAACCATCAAGGAAAACAGAGAAGCTGGGCAGTAGTGGCGAATGCCTTTAATCTCAGCAGAGGCAGACAGATCTTTGAGTTCCAGGATAGCCAGCTTCTCAGAAAAACCCTGTCTCAAAAACAAAACAAAACAGAAAAACCCAAAAAAAAAAAAAAACCCAAAAAAACAGGGAAAGAGAGAGAGAGAGAGAGAGAGAGAGAGAGAGAGAGAGAGAGAGAGAGAGAGAGAGAGAGAGGTGGCAAAACATAAACCAAGTTGGACTTCATCAAAACAAAATAAAAACCTTTGTGCACCCGAGGTAATGAAGACAGGGACAAAGGCGCAGGTAGCTCCTTGGTAATGGTGCTTGCCTGGTACTCCAGTGAGACAAGGAGGGAAATGAAAACAGCTCACAATGTGAGAAAACTTGTCGTGTGCAACTTAAGGTGTAAACAACGGATAGCATTTTAAGTGGATAAACTCACTATGGTGGTGCATACCTGTAATGCCAGTATTCAAGAGGCAAAGGTGAGCATCCCCACTAGGAGAGTTAAAGTAAAACATTCAAAGTAACAGTTTTAAAAGTGTAGGGGAACTGGAACATTATGTGTTGGTGGTAATAGTATAAGACACTATAGCTGCCTTGGAAAACAATTTGGCAGCTCTTCAAAGTGTCAGACCTAAAATATTTATTATAAGGCCCAACATTTCTTTGGGGAACAGGTTTCCCCAAAAGTTTAGTGTATATAATGGTATATTTATAACAGACAAATCCAGAAACAACCCGTGTGTTTTAGTTTCCTTTCTTGTCGCTCTGACCAAACACCTGACAAGAAGCATCTTAAAGGAAGATTTGTTTTGACCCATAGTTGGATGGGACATGATCCATCATGGCTGGGAAGACATGGTGGTAGGTAATTCCATGGTGCTGGAAGCATGGACCTGGGTCTTCTCATGTAATACCTCAATAGCAGGGAGAACACATCTGGCTTTCTCTTTTTCCCTTTCCCGCCTAGGTCTTTATCCTCTCTAGAGAACCATAATTCAGTTCACCCCAAAGAAACAGTGTGGAACTGTTTCCTCCTAGCAAGTTTTCAGCAGCCTTTCTGAAATATATCAGTAAGTCAAAGAGTAGAAATAGTGGCTTAGGCTACCTACTCACTAGTAGTTTGCTGTCCTGATTTGTTGGCTGAATATCTGCTAGTGAGAACTCTGAATAGCTAAGTGCTTTCAATGCAGCAACCATCTTGTGTGATTTTTATCCTGTGGTCACCAGGAACAAATTGTCAGCTCCGATCAGTAGCCACACACGGCCTGCAGTTCCAGGACAGAGCCACCCATATGCTGAATTCCTCTTCAGTAGACAAGTGAGACCTTTAAAAGGTCCGGATTTAAAATGCAGGGAGTGGGAAAGTAGCATTTTGTTTTACTTGCAGATGTTTAGAAAATGTGGCTGGAAGGAAAGGGGGCGAGATGTCAGAGAGGGACACCTTATTGTGGTAGTCTGAGAACGGTTATGATGGAAGCTGGAAAGGGGCATCTGTGTCCTCCAGGTGGACACTCCCACAGGGGTGTTCTGCACTTATTGCTCATGGGGTATCTCATCCTGGAGAAAGTAATAATTGATTCAGTGCTATTGGGAGGTCTGTCACATTTAAGGGAAAGTAACTTTGGCTTGAAGTGTTCAGGTCTGGTTTCTGCTGACCCTAATGAGCATTGTATTTGTTAGTTACGGAGATTATAAAGATTTTTTTTTTTTCTGTGTACATTGGCTTCTGTGTGTGTGCCTGATACCCATGGTGGCCAGAAGAGGGCATTGAATCCTCTGGAACAGGAGTTACAGCTGGTGGTAAGTGCTGGAAACTGAACTCAGATCCTCTGCAAAAGGATCCAGTGCTCATAACCACTAAGCCATCTCTTGAACCCCTAAAGAAATGATTTAAAAATTTCCCTGTAGATTGTTTTAATTTTTAAATTCATATAGGGAGTGTATTAGTTACTTTAATATTGTTTTGATAAAACACCATGACCAAGGCAACTTGAAGAAGAAAGTATTTAATTGGACTTACATTGTGGTGTCGAGAAAGCGTGGTGGCAGGAACAGCTGAGACCTCACATCTCCACAAGCTGGAGGCTTGGAATCCTCAAAGCCTGCCCTCATGACACACCACCTCCCAAAAGTTAACCCCTCCGGATCCTTTTCAAGCTGCCACGTAGGGACCTGGTATTTATTACATGATTGAGAATTATGGCAGTTGGGGTGGGGTCGGGGTATAGGCATCTTTTATTTTTATTTTTTAAAGTTTAGGCAGTCTCACTTTGCAGCCTTGGCTGACCTGGAACTCTCTAGACCAGGCTAGCCTTGACCTCATGGAGATCTACCTGCCTTTCCCTCCCATCAAATGAAATACTAGGATCACAGTGACTCTAAAAAAAAATTAATGTGTAGTTTATGTATATGTGTGTTTGTGCATGTGTGGGTGTGTGCAGGTACACATGCACATATGTTTCTGTTTGTGTGTTGAGGCCAAAAGTTGACATCAGTGCCTTTCTGTTGATTTCCCACTTACTTTTTGAAACAGAGATCATCCTAATGCTGGAATTACAGATACTCACAACTACACTCGGCTTCTACGCCTGGGTTTACTGTGGGTGCCAATGACGCAAACTCAGGGCCTGTTGCTTGTGCAACAAGCACATTATGAAGGGAGCAGCTCCCCAGCCATTTGGAGAGGATCTGAATTTCATATATTTAGTGATGGCTGTGCTTCTTATCTACCTTCTTGGATTCTTTGCTGGCTTGTTTATGTGTGTTGGCGGAGGGGATGAAGGGATGTGTTGATCTGTGTGTGAGATGTACATGTGTATGCCACATATGCTTGATTTTCTGTATGGGGACACGGGTATGTGCAGGTGCATGTGGACATGTATGCACATATATTCATAGACCCAGGATGGATGGCTGGAATCATCTTGAATTGCTCTCCATCTTGTACATTGAGGCAGGGTTCCTAACTCAATTCAGAGTTTGCCATTCTAGCCAGCTTGCTTCAGAATTTCCTGCCTGGTACTCCAGAGTGCTGGGAAGCTGAAGCTCACATTGCATAGCAAGTTCTTTACCCGATGAGCCATCTCTCCCAGCCCCTTTGGTGGTATTTTTCATAGCCCTGGTACTCTTAGAAGAGTTCCTTAAGTGTCATTGACTCATATTAGACGATTGACAGATTTTCCTAGTCTACCAGTAAAGGAGTACTGCAGCTACATCTAATCCTGGCCATATAAGATCTTCCCTTAATCATGAAATTTTGAGTATTTTTTCATTAGACTGATGTAAAAATTAATTAAATATAAACAGCTAAAATATCATTTTGAAAATTTTGATCCAATTATATATAACATCTTAAATATGTAAAGATTGACTGCCATTTTTTAAAACCCAAATTTAAAGATATTTTCTACTTAATTAGATAAACAGTTGTAAATACCCAGAATATATTATCTCCTTGATACTTAGGTAGGAGGCAGGATTGTGCTATGGCTATAGTACAGATGGTCTACAATTTATAACAGTCCTCCTGAGTGGTAGGGTTGGTAGGCATGCCCATCATAGCCAATTTATGAATTGGCTTCCCTCCCTTCCTTCCCTTCCTCCCCTCCCTCCCCTCCCTCCTCTACCTTCTCCCCCTCTTTCCCTCCCTCTCAACATAAGATGTCAGATAGCCCTGGCTGTCCTCCTCTTGCTCTGTAGTAACTCAGGATAATCTTGAGCTTCTGATTCTCCTGCCTTCATTGGTGAATTACTGTGCTGTGGTTATAGATGGGCACCACCATGCCTGGTTTATACTAAGTTGGGTGTGGAGCCCATGTCTTCAGGCTGAGCCACATCCCCAGCCCAATGAATTGATCTTTTAAAATTGTTTTTTATATTTCATGAATGGCTTGTTTTGAAAACATTGATTTTACTGGCAATGTGGATTTGAAGGGACACAAGGGGGCTGCTTTCACACTTAGATTCTCATTAAAGCCTTTAATGCTAATCCACTGCACAGTTTTCCCAGAATTCGCATGAAGAGCTCTGGTGGAATGCTTGAAGGAGTTAAATTATGAGGCCTGGAGTTGGCTTCCTGGCTTTGCTTCCTGGCTTTGCATCCCAGTGCTTGCACTTGTCCAGTCTCATGACCAAAGCAAGCTTTTCATGTCTGATACTACTACTACTACTACTTATTTCTTATTTTTTCTTATTTGCAACGTGGGAATAGGTTTTTAACTTAATGAGTGTTATGAGAATGGAGTGAGTTAGTTTCAAACCATTTAGAATGGTGCCCAGTTAACTATGGTGCCCAGTTAAGTTTACACTTAAATTAATGCTGGAATTCATTATGAAGGACATGGTACTGTCTGTAAAATAGATTGGTTCTGCAGTTCCTGCTTTTAAAAGATTTCTGTATGATTGAAATAAACAATAAGCTAAAATGTCTTTTTATACAACTCTTTCATGATCATTTTTCTTCTTCTTTTAGGCACGGAATGTTAACACTGGAGAATTAGCAGCAATTAAAGTGATAAAGTTGGAACCAGGTAAATTATTTGAAATTTGTTGTTTCTTGTTGCTTGAAAGTCATTGGATATCATTGAGTACTTTCATTTTTTATATTTTGGTTTTTGAAATGGTGTTTGTAGCTCAGGTTGACCTTGAACCATTGATCTTCATATCTTAGCATTCTAAGTCCTAAAATTACAGTCCTGTACCATCATACAGCTAAAGCTTATTTTAATATTGTTTGATTACCATTCCTTTACTTCCTCAGTGTTTTGTGGAGAAGAGGGACACATGTCCCTTCTGCCTCTCTGAACCCAGCATATACTATGCTCAGTTCTTCCCAGAAAAATGATTGGTAATGGTGGGAAGGAGAGGAGGTTGTGAAGGGGTTTATAGTGGCTTACTTATTTCCAGGTGGCATTACCCTGTTGTAAGGGGCAAGTGTGGTCCAGTGGGAAGAAGTGGGCTGATGTTTGGGAAGATGCAGTCTGTTGTCTCCTGTTCTCTTGCTCTGGGTCCTGAGTTTCTTAACAGACCTCAGCAGCTCTCAACACCTATGTTATTAATATCTATGTAGTCCTTTCCGGTTTGAGCAGCTCATTACAGAGCCTTTTAGGACCTGTGTTTTGTCTGCTCTAAATTCTCCTTTGGGTTCCGCACATCCTAAAACCCACATCTTTCTGTGCGAACTCCTGGTATACATCTTCTCAGAACTTTCCTCTCTCCCCTTCCTGCAGTAGGCAAGCAATTATGCTGATGTATGGACACGGCCTGCAGCACTTTAGGTTTTAGCTTTAGTGGAAACAGAAATCTATTCAGAAACATGCCAGCTTTTCCTGTGAATTATCAGATAATATTCTAGACTTTGCAGGCTGAAATGTAGCAGAGCATTCTGAGCTAGAACCAGGCCACCTTCTGTTAGACCTGGCCTACCCTTGACTTAGCTCTTTGATAAACTCTTAGAAGTATCATTAAAATGACATTTGCTTGTGATTAAACACAGGAGAATACCATGATCACAGAACACATCTTCAGTTAGATGCATTATGGATCCTCTATAATGTAATTACCTTCTAATATCACTGGTAGGATTTCTTTGTTTTCTCTGCTGTTCAGTTTACAAAAAAGATGTTTGCCATTGGTGGAATCTGGAGTACCATTGAGGATTTGGCACTTTTCATCAGGCCTTTAGTTTTTAATCAGCCAGTAGAAGTTACTTGATGCAGCGGTTGTGAGTCCAAAGTCCCTGGACTTTGGTTCTCCCACATTATCCGAGTGTCTTCAGAACTTCCACAGCTGAGGGAGCTAGCTCGCTGAAGCCCTTGCAGTGGTGATGTCATCCGAGCCATGCTCTTTCTATTCTAGACTTTCATAAAACACGTTCCCTCAGCTATGAGTTAAGACACAGAATCTATTCAGTACATCTTTAAAACCTTTAAAAAAAAAAAAAAAAATCAAACTAGAGACTTAGAAAACCTTCATTAACTCAGTTGTTTTCTGATATGTGTGATGATTGATTTGTGATACTATTGGTCTTGAACAGTGCTGTGTATTAGAAGATACACAGTTAAAGAGAAGAAAAACCATTCATAGTGTTCTAGTCTTGTATCTTTGTTCCTACCTTGGGGAAAATGTTTGCTTGTTGCTGAGTTTAGCTGGGTTATTAAAATCATAGGCCCTGAAAGTCGCCGTTTTCCTGCTAGTCTGGACTTGGTCCTATTGCTTCAGCTTTAAGGGAGGGGTAGTAACAGCAGCTTCATTTCAGATTGCTATGAAGTTTAACAGAGCTTGTCTAAAGCACTTGGAGTAAAGCCTGACCTTCTGCACTGAGAACTTACTATAGGAAATGGCTGCTATTGTTCACTGTGCTGTACTGCCCAAGGCATGACCAGTCATGTTTCATCAGTTCCTGGTTACCCCCACTCCCCAAACATGCATGGGTACCAAACACTGATTTGCTTTGAATCAGACCCCAAGCATCAGATCATATCTACCCTTAGTATTTCAGTATATAGATAGAATTAAAAAATGAAAACATAAGCTACAGACAAGAACCTTCTTGGGAGACAGCACCGACTCTCTGGAAAATGTTCTTTGTTTATGTTGTTGTTTGTTTTTGGAGACAGGGTCTCCCTGTGGAGCTCTGGCTGTCTTATAACTCATTGTGCTAACCAGGCTGATCTAGAACTCAGAGAGATATGCCTGCCTCTGCCTCCAAAATGCTGGGATTAAAGACTTGTGCCATTATGCCCAGCACTATTTCTTTCTTAAAAGGTAACTGTAAATTTGCCTTAATGACTCAGCAGGGATGCTTTTGTGTCTACCCATACAACTTGCACAGGAGGGTGCCGCATGACATTATTCATTATAACTGGTGAACAAATGGACAAAATGTGTTATGTACAGAGTAGAAAGGGAGTTACTAATGCATGCTCCCACAGCTTCAAACAATGCTAAATGAAAGGAGCAGGTCACAGGAGACTGTGTGCTTGATTTTCATAGGTGAAAAGAAATGTTTAGAGAAGGTATAAAGTGGGCTAGTGTGCTAGAATTGCAGGCAGGTGGATTAACAGTGAGTAGACATTAGGAGTCTCACAGACAAGGTTAACTGTCCAAAACTGATTTATACTTATAGTTGCAAACTCTGGTAAACATACTTAAAACGTCATTGAATTTTACATTTGAAATGAGGGACCTGTTTGTTTTAATATATCTTTTAAAGGCATAAATGGAGCTAGAAAATGGCTCAGTCTTTCATTGTGTATGTAACCACGAGGATCCAGTAACCACATACAAAGCCTGGTGTGACGTGACCCTGACCTGTAACCCTGCTGTCATGGAGTACAGAGACACGAGGGTCCCTGGGGGCTTCCAGGTCTCAGCCTTGTTCCAGGTTCAGGGAGAGGCCCTGTCTCAAGGGAATAAGGCAGAGCATAATATACCAGAAAAACCAATGTCCTCCTCTGGCCTCTGCATATATGCACAGGCTCGCACAAGTTTTACACATGCACACATGCGTATATCACACAAAGCCTCTTTAAAGTATTAAATGCATAATCAAGAGCCAACTGACAATATTGATAATAGTTTCTTAGTAATAAAGTCCCCAGGTTGGAAGTAGTCCATGTGTTTTAACTGTCATTTATGTTTGTAGGTTTCTATTTCTGTCTTTTTGTGTATTTTTTTTAAGAAGCTAAATAATTTGCCCTGTAATTTCCCCTCAGGGTGGACTATGCTAGTTGCCTCCCTAAGGTGTTGTGAATTCTTAGCTGTGACAACTGAAGAATTGGGACTGTCTTCATGGGTGGTGTACTACTCACATCAGTTCTGAGTCCTAGTGGCCAATTTCCTTTGTAAAAATAAAACTTAAGGTCAAGAGCAATGTGATAGACTTTAAGAATTTGTACTTTGACTCCTTCCTTCCTTCCTTCCTTCTTTCCTTCCTTCCTTCCTTCCTTTCTTCTTTCCTAATAGCTAGTAACCATTTTGAAACTGAAGCTAAATGAAAATCTGATTTTGGCAAAATTGTTTTAATGCAGGGTTAGTTGAAGGTATCTCACCATGACTTCTTATATTGTTCACGTGACTTTAATTTATATTTCCCTTTCTTCAGTGTCATTTGCTTAACTATAAGTCTATACTCTTTTTTTTTTTACTTAAATTGCAAAACCAATTTTGACTATAGTAAATCAAAGTAGAAAAACAGAATTAAAGCAGAAGTAGAAATTAAAGTCATCCATCATTCTGACTCGTAAGACCACTGTCAACTTTATTTTCAATAGATTTTTTCAATGTTTACGTAGAAATACCCATACATATACATGCTTCTGTCTACACTGAACTAAGCAGACTGTGAAGGGCTGGTCAGAGATCAGAGATAGGCAAGATCATACTGTGGGTCAGCTTACTTTGTTAGCATACTACCATAACAGAAAACATGAAGAATATGTACATGTGATAGACAGAGCCCTGAGAGCTCCTCAGTGGCCTTACAGAGGTGGCTCACATTGTGGTCAGTGATGTGAATAATCTTTCTGCTGCAGATGTCAGGCTATGTGGGGAAAGACAGCATCACTCACTCAGCAGTAGGTGTAAGTTCTGTGAGAAAAGACAGTGATTTCTGGTACCTTTCCTATACGTCCATGTTCCTTTTTGCTGCAGCTCTGGGAATCAAGCCACGAGGGCCTTGTGCACAGCTGGGCAAGAACTCTGTCACTGGACAATGTCCTCATCCAGGCTCCATTTCCAATTGTGTTTTCAGGCTTGTCGTGGGCCTGGCCTTGTCCATCGTAGATACCAAACATTTATGAATGTAATAGGCTCATTGTATGTATCTAACCATCATTTGGGAAGTGTGTCATTGAGTATTTTTCCATGTTACTGCTTGTGCAGTGTCATCTTTTACTTTTTTAAAAATATATCTCATGTGTATGGATGCTTTGCTACATGTTTGTCTTTGTACTACATGTGTGTAGTGGCCCATCGCAGCAAGAAGAGGACATTGGATTGCTTGGAATTGGAGTTACAAATGATTGGTAGCTACCATATGGGTTCTGGGAATCAAACCCAGGTCCTCTGAAAGAGCAGCTAGTGCTCTTAACACAGCATTTTTTTCTAGTCCTTGGCTAAACTATTAATTTTTTATGTGGATTTATTTGTTTGTTTGTTTGTTTTTTAAGACAAGGCTTCTCTTTGTAGTCTTGGCTGTTCTGTAACTCACTCTGTAGACCAGGCTGGCTTCGAATTCACAGAGATATGCCTGCTTCTGCCTCCCAAGTGCTGGTATTAAAGATGTGCGCCACTGCCACCTGGAAGGGTTTTTTTTTTTTCTTAAACTTTTTTGAAAATTATATAGTATAATCCTTATTATTGAGCAAATAATGTTCTGTTAATTTCCATTCCTTTGGGGCTAGTGGTTGGCTATCTTCCTTTACCATATGTAACTTTTTGGCCTTGTATTTTGTGAAAAATCTGTTCATGTCAATCATTTCATTAGTATCTATCCATTGTCTACTCAGTACTAGACATAGTACCTAAG